TCTTTCTCACAAGTTTCCCAGTCAATTAAATTGTTGGATGTTGGAGCTTGCCTGCTCCTTGGGGCCATGGGTGTCTGAAGAGCACCAAGGAGGGTCAGAGAAGAGGGCAGTCAACTATAGCACAATGCTGAGAAGGGAGGCTACACCTGGGGAAGGCAGCAGCGAATTTCACATCCAAGCAAAGGAGAAGTGTTGAAACCTTCCTCACATGACTTGAACCTTCACTCAGTGATACCTGACAAGCTAGCTAATATTTTGAGGCTATGTTTTAGTTTGAAACAATGACATACTTTAGAATAGAGGGCAGTTGTTTTTTTTTTCAATCATATAACTCTCGGATGAGAAAAGTGGAAACAGAAGCATCATTACTTTTTCTTTCAACAAGGATGTGTAAATTCTATGACGGGAGCTTGTTCTGTGATCTTACATGAAGCCATTTCTACCCCTTCAGAGCACAAACAAAGGCTTTGTGAAGAAATGTGGGCAGAACATAGTGTTCAGATGCTAATTTTAGTCACCTGCAAGCTGTCCCACTTTCACTGTAACTTTATTTAAATCATGGCTATGCTCTTAATCAAAAATTTAATTGATTATTGCATTCTCAGTCCAGTTCTCTGGGGGCATGGTTTTCTGTTTAACTTTCTTGTTTTAATTCTTCAGCAAAACCACAAAATTTAATTAGGAAAGTAACCAGCTTTGTAACAATTCCACATCTAATTAGCTATGCTTTGACTGTAACTTCTCAGATTCTGTTCGACATTACACATATATTTTGTATTTGTTCTTATTTCAGATGAGATGCTGAATTTACAGCCTATGCATGTAGTCTAATCACTTTTTACTTTTCCAGAGCTCCTTAGAGATAGCCAGTGAAATCAGAAAACTTAAAGCATTCATATGTGCTATTAAAATAAGAGCCATCAAAGGCCGAGATGGAGGATTGTCACCCTACTCTGTGTATTAGTTTGTTATTGCTGTAGAGCAAATTAACCACAGCAGCTTAAAACAACACCCACCTGTCATCTCCCACTTCTATAGGTGAGGGGTTCAGGCACAGCTAGCTGGATTTTCTCTTTGGGGTCTCACTGCACCAAAAGCAAGGGGTCCACTGAGCTGTGATTTCATCTGGACCTTGGGGTCATCTTCCCAGCTCATATAGTGAAGACAGAATGTAGTTCCCTGTGACTGTAGGACTGTCACCTCCATTTCCTTGCTGCCTATCAGCTGGAGTTGACTCTCACCTTCTAGAGGCCATGAGCATTCCTGATTATGTGGCTCTCAAGGACAGTGCACAATGTACTAGTTGAGTTCTTCTTTGAGGCCAGTAGGAGCACTTCTCTGGGAAGAACTGGAGAACTCTCTGCTTTAAAAGGGCTGCCCTGTTCAGGTCAGGCTCATCCCAGGTAATCTCCTTTTTGCCACATCACATGTGTCAAGGGAATGACTGTCCCACCCTACTCACAGCTCCCACTCACACGGAGAGGAGGGATTACACAGGGCGTGCGCACAGGGTGGGAGAAACATCTTGGGGCCATCTTAGAATTCTGTCTACCACACTGTACTTTAGGGAAAAAAAGGCAACTGTAGGCTTCCTGATGAACCCTCCTCCTTTCTCCTGGGAGGCAGTGCACGGGCGGGCGTGCAAAGGAGCTGTTAATAATGGCTCCCATTCTGTCCCATCAGCTCCACAGGGCGTAAAATCACAGCCACTCATATTCTTCTTCTCCACAGGCTGCTTTGTCTGGCTGCCCAAATTTGCCACTTTTAGTAGTGCAGGTGAATCACTCAATGACAGCATTAACATTTAAAAAAACATCAAGTTAATATGATGCTTTAAATCAAAATTTATTTAATGCAATGTCTCAAACTTCAGCCCAAGAAAACCATTTCTTTAGTGAAAGTAAATGAAGAGATGTGTAGAGAAGAGTTAACATAGCAGGCACAAAACTTTTTTCTTCCTATTTTTTTATTGTTGTTCAAGTACAGTTGTCTGCATTTTCCCACCACCACTTTCCCCTGCCCCACCCACCCTCCATTTCCCCCCCTTTGGCTTTGTCCATGGGTTCCTTATACACATTCCTTGACGACCCTTCCCCTTCTTTCCTCCATTACCTTCCTCCCTCCTCCCCTGTGGTTACTGTCAGTTTGTTCTTTATGTCAATGTCTCCAGTTATATTTTGCTTGCTTGTTTGTTTTGTTGATTAAGTTCCACTTATAGGTGAGATCACATGGTATTTGTCTTAAACCTTTACCCTTAGAAAGACTTGCTTGCAAGATGGGCCCTTAGCTGGTCTCTGGGAACCTAGACTTTGGGAGGGTTCTTACCACTCCCACTGAGAAGAGTGGCTAACTGTGCCTGAGCTGTGTGTATAAGCAACATAGTTCATGTTGAGCACCTGCTTTCTTTCTGAGAGCCTGGAATTTTAGTACATGCTAGGCAGAGGGGTCTATAGGACTAGGCCCCGGTAAAAACCCTGGGCCTTAAGTCTCTAACGAGCTTCCCTGGCATACGATATTTCACATGTGTCATTACAACTCATTGCTGGGGCAGTTAAGAAGATCTCGAGTGATTCCACTGGGAAACACTCCTTGGAAGCTTGTGCCTGGTTTGTTCTGGACTTTAGCCTGTGTGCTTGTTCTCTTTGATGATTTTGCTTTGTATTCTTTTGCAAAGTCATAGCTGTGAGTTGGACTATAGACAGAGTCGTGATAGTTCTCCTGCAAATCACTGAATCTGGGGGTGGGGTTGGTGACTCAAAAATAAAGTAAATGAATGCACGATAATATTCACACTGAGTTTGGGCTCCACTGCCCAGCACACTTGACCTTCACCCTTTCCACCATGAGGATCATCAGAGTTAATAGACTAGAGGCAAGGGGCAGCCTCACCTGGGTTCTAGAGTGCTTGGCCCTGTCTAGATGTGTGTTCTAATTCCACACCGCGAGTCAGGGCAAGTTACTTAACCTCTGTCTCTCCCAGGTTCTTCATCTGTAAAATAGCTATAACAACAGTGCCCACATCACAGAGGTGTTAAAATGAGGCAATTTGCAGGAAGCACTTGGCACTGTGACAGCACATAGTGACTATGAGGGTCTGGTTGTAGCTCTGGATGTAATTCTCTGTGGGGTGGAATCCTTAGAGCATTGTTGACATTTTAGTATCAACTCCCTTTCTCCCTTCACTCTCCTCCCCTCTTCTCACCAGCCCCTTTCCCTCCCCTCTCTGAGAGTCATCTAAGCTCCCCCACATCCTAACCATTTCCTACCTTCTCCCCTCCCCTTATTTCGGGACTAAAGGAACACGATATGCAGGAGTGTTTTAAGTGTGTACAAAAAAGGGCCCAGTATAAATGTGTTGTCACATGTCCAGTGTCCCAGCTATATTCAACACCTTTTAGTTCCATCCACTGTAATTTACAAGAGTTTGGAAGTAAACCTCACTGTCCTGACTGACATAATTTTATTGCTTTTGATAATGAAAAATGATCACATATATAATGATGCAATTTCATAACTTTGTAAGGCTTACAAGGTACTATATTTGAAAATTGGGGAGGGAATCCTAATATTGAACCAAATACTGGACCCCAAGGTGTGAAGTGGCTCTTTTATTTTTCCAGTGGTGTATCCAAAACACAGCTGCAATGGAGATGGAAACTCCTACTTGAAACGGGCTTTACTTCTTTGTAATGTTTGAGGCCCTGGTGGACTGTTTAGATAGATAGTGTTCAGATGCTGCTGCTGAAAAGACTGTAATGTGTTGATGATCAGACATGATCAGAGGAAGGTTAAAGTCACTCTCAAGAGAACAGACTCCTTTGAGGGAGAAAGGTGGTTTGGGAGGTGCCCAGCAAGCTCAGTCTCTCTGGAATTGGATAAAAATTCTAACAACTTGGGGATAAGCCCCTGCCTTCTCACTCCAGGCCTTTATAATGAGACACCAACCTTAAATTGAGCATTGCATGGGTAGGGGCTGGGGAGGAGGAGAAAGAAAGAAAATCAATAAACTAGATGTTCAAAACTTTATTTGCAAATAAATTCAATATTTGAAGGGAAGATGTCAAAGAGAAAAATCAAACCAAAAACAGAAGACTCAAAGTCTGATCATTACAAACATTCCAGAAGCCACTGAGTCCATCTCTCCTCCCTTATTCTCCATCCCCTAATGTCTTCTTAGGCACCATCCAGGTGGGATGGTGCTCTAGTCATCCAGGACACGTTTTTCTATTCCATGTTGAAGATGAATAAGTCCTCCTTAACAATCTGCTTTGCTCTCCATGAAAATGAAGTGAAATCAGCACATTTTATGGGCTCACTCTCTTCTTGGAAGGTTGGCATGGAAAAGAGCCTATTACCACACTTCTCGTCATAGCTCTTTAGCTAAAGTCAACGCTCAATTATATGCAGTCATGGGGAATGAGAAACTCTCCAACTCTAAAATCCATAAAATCCATCAAAGATTGAATAATCAGAGCCCTTCAACCTTTGCCAACAACATTTTCTTATCAAACCCACTGAAACATAGCAAAATTAATTAACTTCAATTTCTAGCCTTTATTTTCCTCAAGTCACTTGTGCTTGAAGTTTTAATTAGAAGAAAAGTGTTTAGATGATCAGCAGAGAGATTTGAAGAGGGAAAAGTGAATCTCTGGAAAATTACAAACTAAATTCACTCATTCATTAAAAAACAAAACATTTACTGAGCTTCTAGGATATTCCAGAAATCACTGAGAACACAGTGATGACCAGAAACACACAGGCTCTCTCATGAAGCTTACATCCTAGTAAAGGAGATGGAAAATAAATAAATAAACTAGTATATATAGATAATGGATCAGGTATATAATAATACTTTGACTAACTTAATTACCCTTTACAAGTTCTTTCAGTTCTCTTAGAATTTTCTTTTCTTGGCTAATTAATTCCAATTATTCAATTCTAGTCAGCAAAGCCCTGTAAACACATTATAAACACAGTGAGAAGTGAGTGGACACTCTTACCTTAAGCTGGTGGGATATTTTCTTCAGTACATATACTTCCTCTTTTGTACTGGGGGTAACTCTTATTACCTTATCACTGTAAGAAAGAAAAAAATGGTGATATTTACCTTTCAAAAATAAATATTTGTTCATCTCTATCTTTTTACTTTCAAAAAACTGCCTCTGCATTTAAGAAGAAAAACAGCAAAACTCTAGACTGGCCAACAGGTATTTTATCCAGTTCTTGTTACTCTCTGATTGCACTGGTCTTTTTGTTCTCCTTCTTAAAACCATTTGTTTTTTTTTTTTCATCAGCTTTTTAAGATTAAAAACTCACACCCAGAGAAAGGCCAAAAACACAGGAAGAGTGGCAATAAGGAAAAGAACTTTCATGAATACCTCAGATCAGATACTGAGAAAGAAAAAAAAATTTTTGAGACAGAAAATTCTTGATGACAGAGGAAAATAATATGCTTAAAAAACAATTTAATGATGAAAAGGAATGTGATGTTCGATGAGAGGACATATGGAATCCATAGACTATGGAACATTCCTGGTTTGGATTCTTCCCACACTGAGAACAAAAAAGATGAGCCCATCTCTATGGGGTATCTTGTTTCTCTAGCACGGAGCTTCCCAACTGACATGTGGGACCAAAGTGGAGGGCCACCAATTGTTTACAGGTGTGTCATGTGACACTGATGGCTGTAACATTTTTAAAGTGATCATTTTAAAGCAATTTTACAGCCATTAAAATTTTACCACAGTTGAAATTATTTTTGAACACTCTCTTGGAGTCTTCCTGTAAAGATCCTGAATTGATTAAGGAGACAGGAGGTGTCATGCTATCCATTGGGGAGTTGTCTTTGGTAGTGACCTCTCCCTCAGGTGTGCCAGACAGGAATTATCATTCTGTAGCATGTCATAATAAAGACCGGCTGGGAAGTACACTCTAGTGTATAATAATCACAGCTGTCAGTGTGTTTTGCATAGAGTAGACACATTAAATACTTATTAACAATTGGTACAAAGGAGATCATTGAGGATTCTTGGCTTCCAGAAAAAATGTAGGAAAAACTAAATGAAGAACAACATAGGTCAATATTTTTCATAACTATGGCATTTTACAATGACTGAAAATAAAATAGAACATCATTAAAACCATACACGTAAAGCACCAAACAGAAGCTCCAGCCATTCACCCCACGACTTCTCTATCTACCTGAAAGGTGTACCAGAATCAGGATGCAATTTGCATGCTTTTCCATCCATGGTTTTACTTAGATAAATAGCAGTCTCCAAGGTGAGGTAACATTAATAGTTAGGTCATTGGTGGAGGTTACCAGATTTTATGGACACTGATTCTTTAGGGCTATGTGTTCATTTCCAATCACTTTAACTTTGTTATTTCAAATGATCCTGTTAAACCTTTGGTAGGCCTATGAATTAAAAGGTCTTTGGCTTGCTGATGATAATTTAGTATGTTTCAGGCACTATTACCCTAATTGGCTTTGGAGCTTTGGTTTCCTTAAAGCCACGCAAAACAACCTTTCAGTATTTTTTTCTGGAAAGAATGAAGTAAGTAGAAGGAAAGAAAAAAATCAAGTCACTATAGTACAACTCCAAATATGACCTTTAGAATTTAAATATAATTGTACTTTTTCTCTTTTCCATTTCCGATACACAATACACTGACCCTTGTTTGTCCTGGCTTCATCAGGCCCTGGTCTTTCCTGCTCTCCTGCTTGACACAATGTAATTCTTGGCTGAGAAAGACATTTCCTCTGGGTAATAGGGTTGTTTCTGAGGGATGGATCACGTGACACCTGGTGGGAACAGACCTCCATCCGGTCCCTGTCAGCTCCCCAAGAGTGTGAAGAAAGCAATCTGTAGCTGTTTTACAACCGTGGGAAAATTAAAAAAAAAATTTAACCCTGAAAGTGATTACTAAACCCCACATTTCTCATTTTTATTAAAAAAAAATCACTTCATCTCAGCTTGTAGAAATTCTCAGGTACAACTTGAGAAGTGTGTTTATTACTGTTTGATTTCTTATGAAAGAACAGAGAATAAAGAAAGCTATTTAGAAAGATCCATAAAATGTCTTACTCTTTTGTAAGCTAATAAATTACAGGAGTAGACTAACCAGTAACCAAAACCCAACAGGAACTCTTCATACAGCTGTCAAACCAAATGACCCCCAACTGCCCACTTGTCTCACGAAACGGAAAGCTTACTCTCCCTAGATCTGACAGTCAGCCGTTTTAGAAGCAAACGATAATTTGGTACAACAAATAGGTTTCAGGTAGTGAAATAGCTACTGGAACTTAGAGAAACTAGCTGTGAACAGGTATCAAAGAAGGTGAACTGAGAGGCTTTCTAATTTATCAGTTTTTTCAACCTCTAGGTGGCAACATAAATTTATGACCCCTTGATTACCCTTTGTGATTAAGATCAAAGGTCTGAGTATGGCTGAGGTTAGAGAGACTCTGGGCAACCAGCTGCTCATTCCTACGTGTGTTTGTAACTAGATATTTCTCACTCAGATAGCCTAGAGCAAGTTGTCAGAACAGGTGTTTTTAATTACGGTTTAAGGATGCAGTATAGAGGCAGGATGTCCCAAATAAGTAACCTCCTAGTAATTACATATTTGAATTTACTCATGATACACTTAGATTTTGTCCCCTTTCCTTACAGAACAAATGTTGTTGTGTTACTATAATACTAGCACCAAGTCGGTTTGAAGTTAGATTACTAATCGTTATGTATGGTAGGAACAACACAGATAAGATAATTTTAAATAAATGCAATCAATTTAGAAAGTGTGGAATGAGAATGTATGCATCCAGAGAAAAGAATGTGGCAAGAGTACACCGTCTCTAACTTTCTGTAGTCTGTCTGGGCCTCTGTGTCCCCATGGAGGGATGAACTCCCACTCGCCTTTTCATTTGACAGCACCCAGCGGTTTGAGTTTGATGGCTTCCACATTCACTGCTGCGCCTGCACTGTGGGACAGCTGTGGGAGAACGTCTGTTACTGGCGACGCTAGAGTGCTCCTCAGCCTGCTTTTGAAAGACCTGGATGTGAAGCTCCAGAGTTTTCCTCTGGCTCTGGAATGACCTTTCACAACTGATCCCATCATTAAACTTGAAATTTCTTCTCTATGAATCCATGCTTGTAAATATCAAAATGTTACAGAGAATACGAAATAATGAAGTTCCCCCCCACTGCAGTTGTCTTCCAGCCTAGACCTTCCATCCTCCCCTAGAGCCTTGTTAATACTTCCTTGTGGTTCCCTCCAGGCTCTTTACTCTGCATTGACCCAGTACCCACTGACATAACAGTCTCTTTATGGCATTTTAAAATAATATGTTGGTTTTAAAATACTACTTTTAAATAAACAGCTGGTTCTATATACTAATAATTTATTTTGGAGTTTTATACCTACATTCATGCAGAGTTTCTTGTTAAAATGAACTTTTCATAAACTTTAAAAAATGCTTGTTTGAATCACCCTTGTATGATTTTGGTGTCAGCATTACGCTTGCTTCATGGAAATAACTGGGAAACTTTCCCTCCTTGTAGTATGCTTTGACCTTTTAAATGACACAGAAATTATGTTTCTGATGGTTTTGTAGAATATACACACAAAATTTTTTAAGATGGGAGTTCCTCTTTTTTTTTTTTGTAATTTGGGGGCTAGATATCTACTTTCTTAATTTTACTGTGGATATTAGTCCATTCAGTTTTTTTCTCCTGGGCATTTGGAGTTAATTTTGGTAACTTACATTTCCTGGAAAATCATCCACTCACTTGTATAAAATAGTAGTTAACATAAACTACTAGTGAACATATTATCATTTAAGGCATCTTATCTTTGTCTGTAGATTTGTCTTGTTTTGGTGTCCTAATGTTACCTGTGTTCTTTTTTAAAGGCCTTAATCATAATTTCCATTTTTTTATTTCATTGGTTTTTCTTAAAAGAATCATTTTGTTTTTATTGATTGTCTCTTTAGGTGCATATGTCATTAATTTCAGTTTCTATCTTTGTTCTGTACTTCTTTCTTTAGGTCTACTATATTACTCATGTTTTAATATGTGACATTCTTATTGATGTTCATGGGCAATAGTTCATTAATGTCAGTTTTTAATTCCTATTTACCAAAAGTTATTTTATTTTGAAGAATGTTAAAAATTCTACACATACCTATTAAATATTTAATTATGTTATCTAGATCTTCTCTCTCCTTATTTCTTATTCACTAAAATTGATAATTTTTCATAGAATTTTATTTAACATACCTACTGGGATTTTGGTACTGTGAACTTATTTTTGAATTCAAACACTTTGATTCGTGTAGTTTGATGATATGTAGCTATATAAGCATCAATAACTACTATAGCCTCTGGATGAAATAAAACTTTTATTCAAAACATAACATCTTTTAAAAAAATCCTGCTTTGGCTCATTTAATACTCTTTCCTTTGAATTCTGTTTTTTCCCAATATAATTACTTTTTGCTTTCTTGTTGTTTGGCTGCACAGTTTGCCTGTCTCTTGTGCTTTTTGTTCCTGATGTGTCTCTGGCAAACATCACAATGCTAGATTCTACTTTTTTTTTAAAAGATTTTATTTATTTATTTATTTTTAGAGAGGGAAGAGAGGGAGATAGAGTGAGAGAAACATAGAGAGAGCGAGAGAAACATCAATGTGCAGTTGCTGGGGGTTATGGCCTGCAACCCAGGCATGTACCCAGGCTGGGAATCGAACCTGCGACACTTTGGTTCGCAGCCCGCACTCAATCCACTGGGCTACACCAGCCAGGGGTAGATTCACTTTTAAAAACCCAATGAAAGACTCTCAGACTTTTCACTGCAGAATTTTACTTATTCATATTAGTTATAATACCTGATTTGAGTGGATTTATTTATTTATTTATATTTGTTATGGGTTCCTGTTTCCTGTGTCTCACGAAGTGTGGATAGCTGAATTGTCTCTCTTCAAAATTCATATTTGAAGTCTTAACCCCAAGAATCTCAGAATGTGACTACATTTGGACAGAAAGTCTTTGAAGAGGTGATTACGTTATTATAAGGT